TCTAATTATGAGAATAACGCCATTCATGTGACCCATAGGAAGGGCCTGAACCGCACCGATAGGATAGTTCTGGTGAACGCCTATACGGACATTGAGGGCATCAAAGTGTTGGACAGAACTCGACAGATAAACGGCACGAATCGGTGTTTGGGCGCCAAATGCACGCATATATGCCTTCCCACAAAACTGGACTACCGGTGCGTTTGCTCGAAGAATAGTAATGTTTTCGCTGATATTTGCACGGATGAGACGGTTTGTTGTGTTTAATTGTTTTTTGAAATTGGATTCAGTTTTATAACAACTGATGAATAATTTGTTTTATGATAATATTCTGTATATTTCACGGAATTTGTACTTTTCAGCCAACTTCGAGACCAGAGGTGACCACAACCACCACTACAACTGTGCCATTGATTGGGAATACGGATCCCATTCATAGTCAGATCGTTGACCACAGTATTCACTCAAATATGGCAAACATATCACACAAATTGGATACTTTAATCAATAATACACTCTTCGGACCTGTTATGGTACCGACTGAGTCCCATAATAACCACTGGATTGCAGTGGCGTTGGTGTCCATTGCTATTAATCTCATTCTAATCGCTGTTTTTATTTACCGAAAGCGGAAAGTGTAAGAAATTATTAGTTTTATATAAATGTGATAAAAGCCTGTGTTATATATTTTTGCAAAATATTATTTTTTGAATGTTGGTCATATTTATCTGAATAGTAATTTTAATTGATCTCTTTATCTATAGACCCTTTTCTGGCAACCTTTGGGCTAAATTTCGAAATGACCGGGAAGAAATATATCTCAATGAAACATCCAATGACCATGATGAATTGTGATTCAATTGTGTAATTAAGATGTGAATTAGTTTTTGTATTTATTTGTATGTTTATATTTTATAATTGTTTCAATTTTTAAATTAAAATACATCAGGGATTAATAATAATTGACTACTAGCGAGTAAGCATTTTCATTATTTATCACAATACTGTTTAAAATAATATTATTCATAACAAATAAATATACCAAAATTCTGTACAATGTTTTATTATATAAGTTTTTAAATATTAAGACTTAAATATATTATATAAACAAATGGCAAATATGTGAATTTGTCAAGTTAAATGATAATAAATTAAAAAATTAAAACATTTTAAATATAATTACTTAAAGAATTAAATGATAATAAATGGTTCTGAGATAGTAATCCGGCAATCTATTGATAGGTCAATATTGGACAGTATGGGCACCTGGATGTGAAATTACATTGTAAATAAACACGAAAATATTAAAAATTTTAAACTGGAAAATTGCAAGTTTTATATGACATAAAATTTATGATAAATACAGTAATTTACAGTAGTGTTATGAAATTGGTACTTAAAACATTGGTATCATACTTAAATTCTGTACATTCGTATTTAAAACATGAGTACAAATGTTGAAAATGTTTATTATATGATTGGCTTTTAATCAGATTTCGTACGAAAAGTGTTTCCATTCTTAATAGTAATTAATTATTTGTGATTTTAATTTCAAGGAAATGTTTGTTTATAATATAAGTAGAGATATGTTTCATATAATTAAATATTTGTCTTTTTAAATCTATAAAAACTTAAATTTTCAATAATTTACTATAAATTTGCTTAATTTTATATAATATCTGTCTGTTTTATATTATCATACCATACTACTGTAATTATTAGTATGAGCAAATATATAATTTTACTATTGGGTATAACTAGTTGTGTTTTATTACAACTTGTGATAGCTACCGGTGCCACAGAAATGCCAGTAATATTGTTTAATAACAACAGCAATGGTATTAATTATGATTACCTCTCGGAGGGAAGGGATGTCATATTCACTGTAAACTCTACGAAAGCATATGAAATGAGATACGAAAGGATAAAAGGCTTGGATTTTGACATCAATGACAAGTACATCGTTTGGTCAAACGATAGATACCCTTATTCTCTATCAATGGCTGAACTTAAGACAAAAGTGGATCCAAATGATGGACAAACTTTGCTTCAGATATACAAACGATCGA